GGGCCTAAGCCAGCAGGTGGTCATCTCCTGAGGGGTACCAGACTGTAAGAGGGCACAGGCCAGGCTGAGGGACCCCCCTGAGTGCACAAATTTTTGTGCACCGGACCTCTAGTTGAACCATAACCTCCTGGTTTATAGGTTGATGCTCAACCACTGAGCCACCCTGGCTGGACTTTCCTGGTCTTTTGACTAGAAAAAGCAGGCTTATATTGGGCCTTATTTTATCTGCACTGATTAGCTTTTCTGGGTTTCATGTTTCTCTGCATCCAGTCCAGGATATATGAGACAAAGAAAGGAAGCTGAAGGAACTCACAATTATGTTGTTCACTAAGTCCCCACTGTTCCCAGTGAGTCTACCTTCTCACCACATTTCAGAGTTTCTTATGTTTGTTTTCTACATAGTTTCTAGAATTTTTACTGTTTGGCAAGGAAGAAATAGAAAAAAGTGTATATAATCCATCTTTCTCTAAATGAAAGTCTTGTAATTTTATACCATCTAGGGAACCTTCTTTAGACAGTGCATATAAAATTATATAATATAATGCATTCCTTTATTAAGTACATATTGATCCTCCAGTATGAATGTTGATAGAATTAATATGATTCTGCTTTCTCCTAATTTTACTCATTCTTCTCTTCTGATTGTAGCTGGATACAGTTTTATTCTTATATTTTCAATTCTAGCATTCTCAATTCTAGCATTTACCATTATTCACTTAAACATACTTATTGAGTTGTCATATATAAATATTATGTTTTGACACAGATCTATCCTTGCCATCCCACAACCATTAATACAGAAATAACATTAGTATACTTATACTCCTTCACCTTCTTTCCCCTTCCAGCTTATGCTTGTAAAACTTATGCTGAAATCTCAACATTGTTATAATTTCTAATATTTATCTGTTTATCTTCATCACTTGAGTATAATTTCCACATTTGTTTTAAATTCATCACCAATTAAAATAGATTTAAAGCTCCCTAACAGTCTGTTTACCAGAGATTTTACATATATTACTTGCTGGCTCAAATTTATCTTCTATTAGCTTCTTTAAAGTATTTTATAGCTATTGGATTCCTAGAAATATATTTAGCTGTTTATTAAAACAGTTATTTTATTTTTCATCATGTTATACTGAAATAACAGTTTCACTGTGTATAAAATACCCTAGTCATAGTTCCCCCCAAGAATTTCATAGGCATTGATTAACCATAGGCTGGAATGAATATTGCTATGAGGTATGAGGCCAGACTGATCTCCCACTTCATATGGGATCTCATATACATATTTTTAATTTTCCAAATGGAGTTTCCCCTTGTCTATGGGTCAGCCCTAACTAGCATTTCCAATGATATAATGTATTCATTCAATCTATAGCACCAGCTCTTCTTTTATTTCAGATAAAATATCTTGAATATTACATTTGATCAATTTTCTTTTCCATTTATATATTTGTTTTCATTTTCATTTTATTGTTTGCATTTTCTTCAAGCATATTCTCTATGTACCTGGCTGTCCGCTCGGCAAATTCCATCCTCTTATTACCTGCATTCAATGTGGCCTTTAGTCATAAGATGTGAGGTTTAATGTTCTTATCCACTTCTTTCTGAGTTCGGCTAGCTTATTTTTTCATTTTCTTTTGTTGTGCTTTCATGTATGTCATGAACCCTGTATCTCTGCATTGCACTCATATTTTATAGAGGACACTTTTTCATTATGTCCTTTGAATTCTTGGAAGAAATTGTGGTTAATATTTTCAGGTGTTCCATAACAAGCTTTTTGTTCTATGTTGAATGGTTACATATTTTGTTTCCAAAGTGAAGAGAATTATTAAAAAATGTATCAGCTTCGTTTTTTTAATCAACTTTTTTTATATCCTGGCTATTTTTGAGAGAGTAGTGTGGATCGGGGCTAGAAATCTGATTTCAGTGAGTAGGAAACCTCTTTGGCACAGAGGAAAACACCCTATGACCTACATAGTCCCCTCTATCTCAGTATAGAGTTGTAAATACGATATGTCTGCTCACTTCTTGGTTTTACCCCATTTATCCTGCCACTCTAAGATGTCCAGGAGATTCAAGGAAGCTCCTGCAGCCTGCCCAGGCACCCAATTCTTGTGATTCAAAAAGGGGTCCTTAGTTTTGCCCTTCATGTAAGCCATGGAGAAGTGGCTGCCCTGCTGGACCCACCCAAGAGCTGTAGGGACCCATCATCCTCTCCATGTATCCACACTTCACGGAATTTGACAGTTCTTCTGTTATTATTATTATTATCATTAATATGATTTAGGACAAGGAAGTTTCACAGTTTTAAACAGATCATGTTTTTCTTCCTGTCTCTTATTTTTCTTGCAGTTTTCAGTGGACTTCTGAAAGTTGAAAAGGATATAAAGCTCTTCAGTTCTTATAATTAGACATCTCCAATACACAAGTTTTGGCAGCTCTACAAAAGTTTGCTGAAGTGATTTAAAAAGTTTCTTAGTCGAGTATGCAAAAATTATTCCTTGTTTTTGTTTTCAATTTTTATTTACCCTCCAGGAGGGTATAATTCCTATATAGCTCTACAGGAGCTTGTAGCTCATCTTATGAAAGCCATGGTTAAGAAGAAAGTATTGTGGACAATGCCTATTTAATTATAGTCCCTGGCACCAAATCTGCCTTCAGAGTTCAGCATAGCTGGTGCCTGGATAAACAAGGTGGCCCTGCAGTCATTGTTACCTTGCTGACACGTGGCTCCCATTTGGCCAGGTGAACAGTGGCACTCTCCAGTCACTGGGTCACACTGTCCTGGGCCACAGGAACACCGCTGGACACAGTCCTTCCCGTAGTGATTGGCAGGACAGGCTGCAGGAAGGAGCAAAACAAAGAACCAAGAGCAGATTTTCCTTATTAAAACCTTTTGCCAGTCAAAAGTTTTAAAAACTTTGTAAAATTTCTTTTAATCAAATAGATTTCCCGACTTGTCTTCAGTGTGGATGTCAATGTAAAAAGGTTACTTTGAAAAAAACAAAAAACAAAAAAAGGAACTGTTTTTAAATTGTTGCTTACTTAATGTAATTTTAGTTGACAACTGGAATTCCAACCAAATACCTATTGTCAAACACTTACATATATGATATAAATGACTCTTACAAACTCAGACTTGCTTTATCCCACAACTGTCTTTGTGTGTGTGTGTGTGTGTGTGTGTCCACTCTGGAATTTTAGCTTACACTTATACACTAACTAGAGGTCTGGTGCATGAAATTCATGCAAGGGTAGGCCTTCCTTCCCCCAGCTGCTGACACCAGCTTCCCTCTGGCACCCAGGACCCAGGCTTCCCTCATAGTCCTGGATTTTTCCAGAATGTCATCTGGAAGAAAGTCTGGAAGGATGTCCTGTCTAATTAGCATATTATGCTTTTATTATTATAGATATAAGATCCAGTATGCTCACATCTCCAACTATTTGCTTATGTATTTATTAATTTATTTGTAAATTTATTCCTTATTTGAAACCAACAAATCTATTATTTTAATAAGTTACATTTATTAAACTAATTATATTAATTAAAGTAAATTAAAAAAGTAATTTAGCCCAGCTGGTGTGGCTCAGTAGTTGAGCGTCAACCTATGAACCAGAAGGTCACAGTTAGATTCCTGGTCAGGGCACATGCCTGGGTTGCAGGCTTGATCCCCATCAGTGATTCTCTCTCATCATTGATGCTTCTATCCTTCCCTCTCTCTTCCTCTCTGAAATTAATAAAAATATATTTTTAAAAAGTAATTTAATAAATTAATATGCTTATCAACTTATTTGCTTGGGTTTTTTTGCTGCAAGTTAATTACAAAATTCATTGAGATGCTTACCAAAATACAAGAAACACACAAGGATAAAATAAATTTCTGTGAGAATCAAGTGAAGGTAATGGCATACACATAAATGAATTTCTTAATTCCTTGAATTTGTTAAAAGGTGGACTGAAAATTTGGCTTGGACCTACCTAGCTGCCAAAGTAAAGAAGAAAAAGTGCTCAGGTACAAGATCACAACTTTGTGAAGGCAAAAATACTCTCAATATTCAGGGAAACCATAGCTTTTGAAGATGCTTTGGCCTGAGGAAATTAGAAAATTTCTCCCAAAGATTCTCTTTGAAGAACAAACACAAAGGAGCCAGTCAGAACCTTTAGGAGATGTTTATGGGTTGGCTTCAACTCAAAGACAACTTGGCCGTTGAGGCCTCAGAGGCAGTATCCACTAGGTTTCAATTTTCCGCTAGTAGGAGCCAGGACTTTGTCTTTTTTTGCCTTTTATCCTCAGAACAGCAGGGTACTGAGGCAGGGTAATTAAAAATACCCTCATACAAAGAAGACTGAGCCATTACCTGCCTAGAGGAGATAAGCATTTTGGATATCTTTAGCACATAACAACTGAGCACCCTGCCTGATCACGAATGTCGTTATCGCTCTTCCAAATAAAGAAACCTCTAGTTCACAATCACAGTAATTCTACCTGTAATTTAAGATCCTTGATGGTTTTTTTTTACTTTTTTAATTATAAAGTATAAGACACAGAACAGTGCAAAATACATACATGTGCAGCTCAGTGAAGGATCACAAAGCGAACCACCTCATCAACAGCACAAAGAACACAGGTCCAAGAACAAAGGTTGCCAGGACCACCTCCCCACCATGAGCTCCCCTACCCATTGCCTCCTCCCCTCTCTAAAGAGTGTTGAGATCTTACAAACTATCCAAATGCTTAGAAAATGACAGGTGTAATAAAAGCAAAATGTATTTGTTAAGGATATCCCCAAAGTGTTTAAGCCAGGTCATTTTTAAGGGATCTTTCATTTACAACTGGTCCCTTAAACTATGTCAATAGTTGTTTTTTGTGGTAAGTATTAAGGTCTTTGGATTTTAGGGAATGAGTTGCTTTCTGAAAAGTGGGGGAACTGCTTAATTTTGAGCTGGATATTTGCTGAGCATAAATGACATTGTGGAGCTTTAGATAATGAATTTGACATTGTATAGACAGGAATCCCCAGTTTGATCTGATCTTGCCAGATTTTTAAATCCTGGCGTGAGTGGATTGATAGGGCAAGAGAAGTTATGATCAAAGGGCTCTCTTTGGCTGCCTTCATTGACTTCAGCTCTAAATCAAACTCCCGATGTAAGTGCTCCTCAACTTAGAAATTAGGTCAGTTGGTGTTTGCTATTGCTACAGTAAATTATTAACTAAAATAACTGCAACAATATGTTTCCTGAGTGTGGTTCTTAAAATTCTGCTTTAGCATATCCATTTCATAATAGGTAGAGTGACTTACTTTGACTGCAGTCAGCCCCAATGAAGCCTGGAGGGCAGTCACAGGTGCCAATCACGATGTCACAGTTGCCACCATTCAAGCACTTACAAGTCCTTTGGCAATAGGGACCATAAGTGCCTTTTGGACATTCTGTTAAAGGAGAACAAACCATATGTGGTACTGTTACTTGAAGTAATCAGTTTAAATTTATGCCCGTAGACATGTGGTTTACTCAACATTCCAATTACTGTTCTTTGGTACTTTCAAGCTATTGATTCAAGGCGTGGACTTACCTGAGGCTATGTGATGATATAGATACCATAGGAATATAGGTGAGGACATAAAGTTCTTGATGCCGCTGATTAATAAGCTATAAGAAACAACTTTGAACTTCTTTGAAAATCTTACTTTTAGAGAATAATCATAATAGGGGACAATTTACCAAACAAGGTTATTTCATTCCAGCCTAGATAAATTTATTATTTTGATTAACATTTATGTGTTATAGCTTGTCTTGCCTGGAATGATCTGGGTATAATACAAGTAAGAATTCAAAATAGCATAGAGGAAGTGTTTTTATTTTCTGTTAGTTTCTCAGCTTTCTACTTTCACATTCATGAACATGTAGCCTACCATGATGATATCTGTGATAGAAATTTTATTTATTTATTTTTATTTTTTTATATATATTTTATTGAGTTTTTACAGAGAGGAAAGGAGAGAGATAGAGAGTTAGAAACATCGATGAGAGAGAAACATTGATCAGCCGCCTCCTGCACACTCCCCACTGGGGATATGCCCGCAACCAAGGTACATGCCCTTGACCGGAATCGAACCTGGGACCTTTCAGTCCGCAGGCTGACGCTCTATCCACTGAGCCAAACCGGTTTCAGCTGTGATAGAAATTTTGGAAAAATATCCATATTTCAAGATAAAGGGAGGCTGGACAGGACCAAGAGTGAGCTGAAGACCCCATTATCTGTGCAATGATTGAAAGATTGGGGGTGTTTAGCTAGAAGAACAATCCAATTAAAACATGAGCAGAGGCCTGAACAGGCACTTTTCCCATGAAGACATATAGATGGCCAACAGATACATGAAAAGATGCTCAACTTCACTAGCAATAGGAGAAATATAAATCATAACCATAATGAGCTACCTCCTCATACCTGTTAAATGGCTATTATCAATATGACAAGAAGTAACAAATGCTGGAGAGGATGCAAAGAAAAGGGAACCCTCATAACACTGCTGATGGGAATGTAAATTGGTATAGCCTCTATGGTAAATTTTAAAGTCTTGAAATTATAGAAGTTTGAGTTTCAGCTCCATTTGGTTCAACTCTTATTTTAAGATGACAAAGTTGAGGCCTATAGACAGAAATATCTATTGCACAGCATTCTGTCACCAGTTGAAGATAACTCTCTTTATTTTTGTCATACATTTAAAATATAATACTATAGCAAATTTGGAATAGACTGTGATTTGAACCCTGTATCTTCCACTTACTAGTTTTACCACCTTGAGTAAGTCCTTTCTTTGAGTTTCTGGTTCTTCATTTCAAAGAGGATAACAACAAAATTACAGGCCTATTGTGGGAACTAGAGTGAAAAAATAGAATATCTAACACATTACCAAACCCACAAATCACCCAAGTCAGTGGTAGCTATTATTTTCATTGATAGTGACAGGATCACTGGTGGGCCTGTAGCATAACCCTTTCCTTACCTGCTTGACCTGAGTCAAGTGATTTAGTATTTGCCTTAGGTCCTTTCTCCTGGAAAAATCTTTTCTTTGGAAGCATAACTCTAAAAGTGACTAAACTAGACAACATAACTCTTCCTTCCCTCTCTTTCATTCTGTATTTTTATGTAAGAACTAGAGGCCCAGTGCACGAAATTCATGCACTCAGGGTGAGGGGTTCCTCAGCTCGGCCTGTGCCCTCTTGCAGCCTGGGCGCCCTTGGGAAATGTCCAACTGACAGCTTGGTGGATGTCCAACTGACGTCCTAAGCCATCAGTTGGACAGCCTTAGTGCTGCCACGGAGGAAGGAGAGGCTCCTGCCACTGTTGTTGCACTTCCAAGATATGAGCCCAGCTTCTGGGTGCTTCCCCTGTGGGAGCACACTCACTACCAGTGGGCAGCTCCTGCATTGAATGTCTTCCCCCTGGTGGTCAGTGTGCATCATAGCGACTGGTCATTCCACCGTTGGGTCTATTTACATATTAGCCTTTTATTAATAGGATGAGATGGCAAAGAACATTTTTAAGTATTTCACATGTACCAGAGTTTTAGAGATATAAGTAAAAAAATGGTTTTCTTAGAGGTTCAGATTTTTTTATAATTCCTACAGATATCCTGTTCTACACCCAGGGTTCTCACCTTGAATCTCAGACTCATAAAGTGGCTGCTTCTTTCTTTCCTTCTCTTTCCCCAAGAATAAGTAATTTTAGCAAAGATAATTTTAAAATAAAAGTCTCCATTCTCCATGATGGAGGTGGAAAGGAAAACACTTTAAAATTACTCATTCCAAAGGTTATTTCTCTAGTATAGCTGTTGTATTGCTTTATTTTTCTCTATAAAAATGAATGAGTTTATTTCACCTTCCCTTTTGTCATCCCCTCCTTCCAAGGGATATCAGTTTTTATTGCTAATTGACACTTTTCTGGTACACAACATTCTGTAGTCCTTCTAAGAAATTCTTTAACTCCTTTACAAAAATTCAATAGAATGAGCCTACAAACAAAATTAATGAATAAAAAAGTTTCCATCTCCTCCTCTTCTCTTATTAACCAAGATAAAATATTCTTCTTCATGTCCTTCTGGGTCAGTCTTTTAGAATGTAAATTTTTGTGGTTTGTACCATTACTATGTGTGATAGTTTAAAAATGTTTGATTGATTGATATTGAAGTACATATGGAGAGAGCAAGTTGAAGGCATGGGGTTTGAAACAAGGAAGTCTACTGTGTACTGCTGGCATGTTGCCTCCACAAAGGGGGTTAAATTAATGAGTTGATTAGCATAGAAAATTCTGGAGTCACATTACTCTGAAGTGAAAGGTGACATAGATTTCTGTGCAAATAAGGAAAAGAGCAACCCCCAATAGAGTGAAACTTATGAACTTGTTAATGAGAAAAATGTTAAGTTGTGAATATAATTATGGGTATCAGAGAATCAGCATCTCAGTTGGAAGGGGGGGAGGTTATATATAATTATATGATAAATTTAAATATCTGATATATGTAAATCTCTATATTTTGAGATCACTTTTATGTGATTCAAAATTACTTTGGAAACATAATTTCCCTCTGAGGTATACCCATTTTGCAAACTATCTTAATGGTGGTAGAGCATTTGATAAATCATTTCTTTGTTATTATATATATAGAGAGAAAAAACTACCTGCTTTTTAGCCTTCAATTTAGTTATCCTTTTGAAGTAGGGACACTGAATTTGATGAACAAATTAATGAGTCCACCATCTGTTGAAAGACGGTATATGTGCTAACCTCTTAGTCCCACAACTCATTAAAGTTGTATCAAGAGTATGGTATTTGTTTACAGAAGAAGTGCCCATAGCTATTTTTCCCCTCAAAAATAAGTACTTTGATGAACAATTCCACTTTCTTGCATAATTCTGTAGCTATGTAAAAATTTGTCTTCTGGAATCATGCACACATCCCTTGCTCAAATGTTCAATAAAGTGAACAAGGAAACACATGCCCAGAACATAATGATTTTATTTGACTTGCTTGCATGCAATTCAGCCTCCTTTCCCTCATTTCCTAAAGTTCCATTTTGATCATTACTTGGCTTTTGGTCTGCCATTTACAACCACTTCTCCCGGGAAATTTTGTCTCTCTGACAAGGGATGTTTTTCTATTAAAAGGTGACTGTTTTTTTCCCCCACACTTGTACCATTCCCTCTCCTTAAAGTAGCTTGACTAGGAAGAAGCTTGGATATGAATTCACAGTCCTGATTTGTTTAACATTAAAGGCGAGTATATATATATGATGATGTAAATGCCTTTGTAGTTTCATTAGGAACTTGGAACAAGCAAGATTGTGACTATATCCTGAGTCATAGCTCTGAAGCAGATAAAATGCATAAATCTGTTTTGAACAGGGTCTGATTTCCTAGTACTTGACCAGATTACTCACAACTCATACTTACACTAGCCATTATTGTGAAGTTTTATTTTATACTTAAAAGAGATACTCTGATTTGGCCTGTAAATGTTCATTGCTATGAGCAAGAAGAACATGAGAACGAGACTGCTATCAACATCTTGATATCATCTCCTGGCACAGGTGAGCTCTCCCGTGGCCCATTTTTCTCCAAACATTCTATACCACGTATGAGGGTGCTTTATGAATACTGTCAACAGAATTGCCCATGTTTTGAGAGGACCTCAGTGCCTTAAATTCTCTCAAAGAGAGTCATTATACCTAGTGAGTACTGCAGGTTACAAAAATAAAAGATTTCCAAGGTCCATAGTCACTTTATGATTTCTTAAAGGTCCAAAAATACACAGCATGATGAGTTTGCATCTCCTGGGGACGCTTGTTTTTTTCCGCATGCTATCCACTCACTGAAACTGACCAGCCCATTATAAATTATGGACAAGTGGTACAATTCCTACTGCACATTTGTCTGTTTCCTCTGACCTCTACCAAGAGAAAAGTTGGATCCTCCAATCTGAACTTGAGAACATGAAAGCCCAGTTGTTTTTGGCTGCTGAAACTTTTGCTTTTGAGCCAGCTGCACCTTTTATGAATATTTTCTTGAACCCTTTTTCGTAGTCCTGTAATTACAGTGGATGTTGCCAAGGAACCTTAACAGCAACTTCCAACCACGTGTTGCCTGGAACTAAGCCAACCTGACTAGTCAGGGAGCAGCTCCCTGCCTCAGCCTTGCTTTTACAAGGTGAAGTTACCCTCCTTCAACCCAAGGTAGCTTGCCTTGCCTTCTAAATAAAAGTGCTATCAGCTCTTTGTAACTTGATAATATTTTATTAACATAAAATGTCTTCATATCTAGAAGTAATTCTTCCTGAACAATATGACAGAATCAAGTGTGAGGGAATCATTTCTTTCTCTACTACAAGTGTGCTTAAAATTTACCATAACCAAAAGAAATATTAAAATTTTAATAATTTTATATTTTAGTTCTTCATTTTGAATAACTGTAGTGGTTATGGATTCCAAACACAATGCTGTATGAAACCACTTCATACACACTTAATTGTGTGTTTAGCTGGTAATGTTTAAAATTAGGGCAAAAAAGGAGAAGTGATATTCAAAATATACATTCTGTGGCCTGCAGAAAATTAAAATCAATAGCTTGACCATAAGTGTATATTTCATAGATGGCATTTGAAGGGGTAGGGAATCCAGAAATCAGTCCACATACTGGCAAGATTAGGAAAGGAAAATAGAACTTAATTGTGTGTTTAGCTGGTAATGTTTAAAATTAGGGCAAAAAAGGAGAAGTGATATTCAAAATATACATTCTGTGGCCTGCAGAAAATTAAAATCAATAGCTTGACCATGAGTGTATATTTCATAGATGGCATTTGAAGGGGTAGGGAATCCAGAAATCAGTCCACATACTGGCAAGATTGGGAAAGGAAAATGGAATCTGCTTTGGGAGCAACTAAGAGAAAAGAGTGGTGATGGCCAAGTTGGGGGGAAAATGAAACTGAGGCCAAATCATTTTATTCTTTAACCTATAAAAAGTACATTACAAATAATTACAAGCTTAAAAATTAAGTAGCTGACTGAACATTTTAACATTCTCTTTGGGACTTTTGATTGTGTGTTCTCCTATAAACGTTTTCGATGTTAAAATTCCTAGCAGATCAATATAAGGTGTTTGGTCTAGGGACTATTCTTTTATTTATTACATAACAATGAGCCAACTGGCATTTTATCCTTTAAGCAAATCATTGTTTTCATTCCAGAATAACAATTTGTTTAATTTGATTGTTCCTAAGCAGATCCTAGAACTTACTTGATATATCACCTTCGTATGTTGCTATTTCTGTACACTGATTTATAATAATCAGTTCATGTTTTATTATTTATTTCTTTTTCTTTATCTGTTTCTTGTCTCTTTTCAGGGGGATAATTTTAATGGAAAAGGCAAAGTCAGAGAACAAATCACACAAAAAAGTTTATGTTTTCAACCATTCCAATAAAAACGCCCATAAGACCTGTTATGAATTAGAAGCTTGAATTCACATTTGCTCTTCAGCATTCCAAGTGATGACCCACTCTATCGGTGTCTCTTTAATGAGTTACAACTAAAGCGGAGAACACACTTACCGAGATGACAGTGGTTTCCATGGTAGCCGGGCAGACAGCTACATCTCCCTGTCACTGGGTGACAGTCCTCTTTCTCGGCCGAACACTGACATACCTGTTTACAGTCCTTCCCATATGTGCCTGGTGGACAAACTAAGGGGAAGAGGAAATGTAAACCCAAATGAATTAAATTTGTCTGTGTAAATATAGCTCTAAAAGTGAAAGCAGGGGGAAATTTATTAAATAAGACCATTGCCTACAGAAGCGTGCTGCCCTCTGGGATTTAGGTTTCATTAAATTTACTTGGGGATTACTTCACTGTTTTATTTTGTTTTGTGCAGTCAATTTGTGACCAACTGTCAAGGGCCGGCTGCAATTTTCTTGTCACTGAAGAAAATCATAGGGTGATGTCAGGTAAAATCAACTAAAATAATAGTATAATTCATAAGGGACCGCATATCTGGATGAAGATATTTTTTTCTGCTGCAGCCGGTTTTAAATTCTCAAGGTTGTTTCTCTCTGCACATTAGTGTGGACTGTATTTGTGTCACTTGTCAGCGACTCTGCTGGGTTGTGCTGTTTCTTTTTACAGGCCGAGCAGTAAAAGCTTTTGCTCCAACTTCTAAATAATACTGTGCCATTTTGTTAAGAAAATAAAAAGGCTTGCTGGGTGTTTTTCAGCTTACAAAACAGAGTCAAGTAGACATTTTGAGTTTCACAGTTGTGTCTAAAGACAATTCAAACAAATTGGTAAAACAAAACAACAACAAAAAAAATTGACAGGCTGCAGACCTAAAATTGAATAATCATTTCTAGATCAAGCTCTTTATTGATCACCTAGGGCGGTTGGCATCATGAAATGCCTCCCATTGGGGAAGTTATTAACCTCCTTGTTCATTGCATCCATGCTTTTTGTTGATGTCCCTGGGTGCCTGTGCTGTTACTGGTTTTCTTAGCATCCACTATCCTTAAGGACATGTCATCCTCCAGTTTTCTTTAAGTAAAAAATGGCAGCAATGGCATAAATTCTAATTCCGAGGGCCATCGGTTGCTTGCTTAGTATTAAAAACAAAGGTTAAAGAGACACAGGAGAATAAATAAAAAAGGAGGGTCTGATTTTTCCCTTTCTGACTGGGAGATGTGCAAATACAAGAGCATTAGCTGGAACCTGACTCAGTTTCTGAACAGCTATTTATGTAGTCCGCTGTTGGGCTAGACTTTCTTTTATCTGAGAATCACTGATTGCTCAAATCCATACCAATGAAGCATTTATCCTGCACTTGCCAGGTATGCTGAAAAGCACATCAAGCTTTAGTGCCCGAAAGGTTTACTAACTTTTTTTGTTAATAAGAGGCTAAACCAGAATAACTGACCAGGGCATTTCAGAGGTGACTGTGTGATATTCTTCCTTCCCTCGCCTCATTGTCACTAAACACATGAAGTCATCATTTACATTCCACTGGGACAAGTTGGGAAGAGTTCCCTAAAGAGAGGTTTCTAATGTGAAAGGCTGACAAACAATCCAAAAAATTAAAATATGTTTTGTTAGAGGCCTCTGATAACTTTAGAAACCAAGAGCTGCAGTTATTACAAATTCTTCTCATGAGTTTCTTCCCATCACTGGGAAGACTAGGTTTCTTTGTTTTTTGGTTTTATGTGTGCATGTGTGTGTGTGTGTGTTTTTTTTCTTGCCACAGGATTAAGTGAGCATAGAGCGTAGTCCTACTATAGCAACTATGGCCACAAAACCTGTGTTCTGTGGAGGTTAATAATTTTAAGAGGTCAAAGTGGCTGTGCTGAACACAACGGGATTTATTTTATAAGGTCCAGTACCTGAATTTATTTAGCCATTTCCATCTTGAGGTCTGGGGCCCACTGGCATAGGACTTTGAGGAAAGGGACATTTGAACTGGTCTGCTTTGAGAAGAGCCATCAAGAATGCTGTGCTGGTCTGCAGGCATCCATTAAAAGACGTGTGGTCTAGAGGACATGGCATGCACTTAGGTCAGGCACTGCCATGGACCTTATCACTGGCTTTAAACAAGCTGCTTAAGCTGCAAGGCCCTCACTTTCTTTCTTTTTTTGTTTTGTATAATCCTGTATAATAAGAGAGGAATATTCTAATTGGCTGTTACTCCCTGAGACACAACAACCAAGTACATCAGGACCAGATAACAGATCAGCAGGAGGGTGGGCCAGCAAGGTACAAGTGGGCTGCAGAGAGCTACAGGAGAGCGCAGGGAAGCCAGCTATGAGGCGAGGGAGGGGGTTGGGGGGAGCTACAGGTGGACGGGGCAGTGGGTGGAGAGCTACAAGAGGGCGGCAGCAACCTACTGGCTACAAGCAGGTGGCAGAGAGCTACAGGACAGGGCAGGGCAACAAGCTATGAGGAGAGGGCGGGGGGAGCTACAGGATGGTGGGGCAGTAGGCGGAGAGCTACAGGAGGGCGGCATCAACCTACTGGTACACGGATCCGTGCACAGGGTTACTAATGGGATTAATAAAATCTATCTCATAAATTATTATGAAGAATAGGCTAATGGACATAGTGACATAAAGGAACCTCATAGTGCCTCAATAAAATTCCTTTCTTTCCTTTCCATTGACACATTTAAAATCAGAATCAATGTTTAACAAAGGTGACGTATATGAGCAAACATCACAAAAACATTCAGAATAATTATGGAAAAAATTATCTAATATATAAAGACCATCTTTATATGTATCTGTAATCAGGAAAAAATATTTCTAAAACAATAGCAACAACAGCAAAACCCATTGCAACCACATGGTGACGTTTCTGGACCACATATAAAGAAAATTTATCCATATTATCATTAATCATTTAATGCTTTGAGGCTTCATAAAACCATTCACAAATGTTAATCACTTCTCCATCCCAAGAAGATCTCAAGCATATCTTTAGCTTGAGGAATCAAAATTGCAGAAGATACAAATAATGTACTCATGACCGTCTAAGCTCTTAAAGTCAGTTCTTAAATAGATGTTTAAAGATTACTAAAGAATTTTACGAGTTATGTTGCAGAACAATATAATAAAAATAAAAGCAAAAAAAAAAGCATCCTGAATGTTATCCAACAGGAATTTTGGGGAAATATTATAGTATTTCTTAGCTAACACGTGTCACAAAAAACATCCATCAGTTGTCACCTGGCTGAATAATGATGACACTGACTAAGACTTCAGAGGGACACAGTTACTGCAAAGCCTGCCTCACATCCTCTGACAGAGAAGGAAATGTGTTAGTTTATTGCTCAAGCTTCTAGATAGACTTCATTATGAGGCACGATTTACAAAACATGCAGAATTCTGGGATGTTTTCATTCAGCCAATAAATACTTCCTGGATACCTATTGTGTGCTGCGTTCATAATAGTGAGCAAAACCAAATATGATTCTTGTGCCTACCAAGTGTATAATAGCACAGAGATACACACAACAAAATGGTCATTGACATAAATAAATAATTTAAAATGTTGTAAGGGTACCAGGTGTAGGAAAGAGAATAACATTAGGGATCCCAATTTGGACTGGCGGGCATTGGATTGGTGGGGGTGGGGGGCATTGGTTCCACATGTTCTCTTGGGGAGATCACTATTTAACTGAGATATGAAACACTAGAGAGAGTGGGAAGTGGGAGCAGATGGAAAAATGGCAGGGAAGAGGAAAAATTTCCAGAGGGAAAGACCCATGTACTACTAAGATTCCTAAATAGTGTGCTGGCAATGGTATGCATGTACATTAGACAATAGTAGGCATACATTGTTTAAAAAGTTTCTGCTTCAGTTTCCTATGGGTGCTGTACAGATGATGACAAATTAATGGCTAAAACAATACAAAGTTATTTTGTGACATTTCTGGAGGTCAGAAGCAAAAATCAAGGTGTTGGCAAGTCTGTGTTACTTCTGGAAACTTGAGGCAAGGATCTACTTCCTTGCCTTTCCCAGCTTCTACAAGCAACCTATATTCCTTGGCTTGTGGCCCCTTCCGCTATCCTCCAGGCAGGAGCTTAGCTACTTCTTTCTTCTCTGATTGTCTATTTCCCTCTTATAAGAACCTTTGTAATTACATTAGGTCCACCCAGTAATCCAGGAAAGTCTCCCAATCTCAAAATCCTTAATTAAATCACTTCTCCAAAGCTCCTTTTGCCATATGAGACAACCCCAAGAACCCCAAGTCCTTCTCAGTGTGATTAAAACCTTTCCTTTGAGTCCATTAATACTAAATAGGGTTATTTTTAAAAATAATTAGTGATTTTTTTTTGATAAATTTGAATATTGACAGATTCCAGGAATTACAACATGGATATCTTTGAGGATCCATTATTCCACCTGTCATACTTTCTGTATTCCCAAATGTTTCAATTGGCTTCTGATTTATCCCTTAGAGACCATGCTATGTAATAAAACCCTAATATGCAAATCGACCGGATGGCAGAATGACTGGTCGCTATGACACACACTGACCCCCAGGGGACAGACACTCAATGCAGGAGCTTTCCCCTGGTGATTAGTGCCCTCCCACAGGGGGAGCACTGCTCAGCCAGAAGCCGGACACACAGCTGGCGAGTGCAGCGGTGGTGGCAGGAGCCTCTCCTGACTCTGAGGTAGCACTAAGGACCCCTCGGGGGATATCCAACTACTGGCTTAGGCCTGCTCCCTAAACCCGCTCTTTAAGCTGGCAGTCGGACATCCCCCAAGGGGCTCTGGACTGCAAGAGGGTGCAGGCTGGGCTGAGGGACCCCCACCCCCCCGCAGTGCATGAAAGTCATGCACCGGACCTCTAATGTTATCATACAGGGTCAAGTTCTTAACACTAGCCTCATGCACAACTCTTTATAGAAATCAATAAAATATCACATTAAAAAAACTATAGGATATTAAAAATATATGGAAAGACTATCACCAATTATTTTTTAAAATAATCTTATTTAGTACTAATGGACTGAAAGGACAGGTTTTGATCACACCGAGAAGGACTTGGGATTGTTGGGAGAAGGTCAGGACCCAGCAAGAACCTGGGAAGCAGCTTGAGTACACAAACATATCTACAGGGAGACTTAGGAAGAACAGACTTCTCAACGGCTGAAACACAGAGAAATGAAGGACTAGTTGCAGATCACAGTAGAAGTTT